GACATTTTCTATACAACAAAGAAGATTGCGACCACACAAAAGGCCACACCATCTTGGTCTTCATACCTTTAGATATTATTTACTTTCTGCTGAGAGGAAACAAAATTCACGCCCAGGATTAAATATATAACCGGAGCAACTAAAACGACAGTGTAACAACTTCGTGTTTGGTGTTTTTTGTTAAGGTGGAATCCTGCCTCTAAGCGATCTCAGCGGGAAATTATTGATGGAGATGAGCTTGATGATGCTAGATCAGCCAGTATAGGTGATGAGAATGAAGAAGGATTCGAAGAAGAGGAGGAGGAGGTGCAGCCAGAGACCGGGCCTCCGCTGCTTACGCCTATATCAGAAGACGCTGAGCTATCACCTACCCTCTCAGCCTGGTCAACACGACTCACATCCCGCCGAGTGCTTCAGTACGCCCTAGCCGTCGTTTCTTCGAACATTTGGCCTGGTGCTTATACAATTGGATCGGGCCGGTGAGTCTCTTTACCTCGTGGTTATGAGGTCAGATCATCTGATGTTACAATTTGCTGCTAGTTTTCAAGGACTATAACATGCCGATATAATATAATTGTTTAGTTTTGTAAAGCAAACCCCATTGAAATATTAATCATTATTTTATAATTGATATTCGCATTCATTGGACCAATTTTTTCAAAATTCTAGGGAAATGTATTTCATAGTTTACTTGAGTTCAACAAGTATGCTTTAAATTTTAATCTGCTGCCCAAAATTAGATTGCCCTTTTGCAAAAGTTATTGGGTAATTCTCCGCCCAAGTCTTTAAAGCCTCTTATTCCTTCTCTAACAGGGGAATTGGAGGCTAAATAAAATGTCCATCGATCACCAAGCATCTTGTATAACAGTCCCTTTCATCTAATTAAGAGACTTCCTTAATTTCCTTGAATTATTTATCTGAATCCCTAACGTAGCCTATCATTGTAATGTATTATAAACTTCATGCCGTCTATCTTTAAGTATGTTTCTATTTTATTTACTCAAATATTTCCCAAAAACTGACCATTCAATTTCTCGTAAAATTCCAGGCAGGTACATACTACTTTCGTCCTTATCTCCCTCATTCTAATTTTCACATGATAAGATAATTGGCTGATACAAGCCTTTAGGTAATCTAGGGCCACAGAGACACTTGTCTCCATTGTAACTATAGTAGTTATCAATTATTGGCAGTGTTAAGTTTGCCTTAAAAGACATCTTATTTTTTCTTTCCTGTCGTGAACTTGCCAATCGGCTTATATCATATAATAATTTACGAATATCAACCCTTAAGCACATCAAAAGCCAATACTTCCATTATGTCTGGCTATGCCCTAATAGGAGCCTTTTCTGAGACAAACCTTCTATATGTATACTGCAAAAGTATTTGAATTGATTAATCTTTTTACAGAAAACATAGTTTCTTAAAGTCTCAAATAAAGTTGCTTAGTCATCTTCCTTTCACACTTCATTAGTTTTCTGAATGGTTGCGCTATACTAAGATCATTCAATCTATATGTATTCATCTGCTCAAACTATATAATAACATTAGTTTTATTCAAGTTGTGTAGATTTTCTTAAACATACAAGTTCATCTGACCAACTATCTCTTTAATTCTATTGCCAGCTTCTTTGAAAATATTTATATTGGCTGGGCGCAAAAGTTCCTGGCGGACTCATTCAGCCCAATCCCTCTTCAGCCTGCAGAGTCTGAGTTCCCATCGGGGCCTGAAGTCACAGAGGTAGAAGATCCGACGCCCGAAGAAGAAGCAGCATGGCGGGCCGCCCAAGCCGAGGCCGAGAGCAGAGCGAATGGCAAATCTGAGGAAGAAGACGAAGATGGGGACGAGGAGGACGAAGAGGCTGAGGAGGGCGAAGAGGATTAGGTCAGTCAGGCGATAATTGATCAGATTTCATCAGATAGATCGGTTTTGTGGTAAAGTTTTGTAGTTTCCAGATATACCAGAACTGTAAACACTTACGGCTATGTCGTTAAGGCTCGAAGTAGTGCACTTAGACTTTAAGCCACTTAGCAATACTTTCATTGTAATTAGTCTAAATAAACTCGACGTCATGCTATTTATGGAGCTTAGTTACATTAAAAGTAAAATCTCCTTCATGACACAATGGCAATGGGGCTGTGGCTGAGTAAAAACGCGTTGCTAAATAGCATTTACCTTCATGTTTAGAGTTCTGTAGGGGTCGCTGAAGGTACCAAGGCGCAGTTGAAAGTGCAGTCGGACTGGGAAAAAAAGACATTTTTGGAGGCAAGGATAAGTGAAATTCAGCCGACCTCAGATATGAAGAACAAGATGGTATGTATGACCTTGTTTTGAAAACTTGATCATGGTGTCAGAAAGATATCGATAAGCATGCCTTACGGGGGTCATCTTTCATAATATTCAATCTAGTTGCCATATCGTCGCTGAGCTTTTTTATTACCACCAGCTGCACTTCGTCGAAGAGATAAGTTAAGTTCATCCCCTGACAAACTTTCTGTTGAACCATTGCGTTATCTCTCCTTCTTTTGCTTGTTTTCTTTACTCTACTTATGGATGCTTTATCTTCTAGGTATGGCCGCTATTTCGTGATATGCTTTTTACTATTCGTATATTACAATGTATTGTTTCAGTGGGATAATCCTCAAGAGAAGACTTTTGCAAATAAATTGCATGCAGAAATAGTCTTTAATTTCCAATCTGAAGCTCAAAATAGTAAAGAGAAGGGGCATTACACGCTTAAAATTAATATACATGGAGCTGTGGAAAAAATAATAAAAACTTAATAATTCAGATATTCCCCTTAAAAGACATGTGATCAAATATAACGGATGTAATTGCAGGTGGCACGATGGTGATTATGCAAAGGGAATAAGGAATGAAAAATACGCTAAATGGCTTACATCCTATAAAATAAGTTGAAAACTCACCTAAAAATGGAATACTCAGAAAATCGCTAAGGACAAGATAATAATTAACAAGCATAATAACGCAGGACGAAAGCGTTTTCAGGCTAAATTTCTCGGTAACTGTCTAGCATGCAGTTACTGTGAAAAGTAGTATTTGGGCGAAAAAGAAGAAAGTTAGCGTAAAAATTAAGTGAAAGCAACGAATGTAGGGAGGCGGATACAGGGTGACCAGAAATGGTAGAACACATTGCACAAAAGGAACATGAAATCCACTGGAACGCAACAAAAACTGGACATATACGGTGAATGAACTAGGAAACTATCTAATTGCGAGGTCACCGATCTCCTTGTTGAAATTAAACTAGTGAAAAAACATTGAAAGAAGGCTGAATTAATGCAGATTTTGCCCATTGTCTAATCAGAAATTAGGAATTAGGAAGAAATGACCTGATTAAGGATGTATTTTGAACAAAAAGAAAGTGAAACGCAAGTGAGAGGCCCTCATGAGACAATTAGAACTCAAGAGAAGACGTTTCAGTGAGCCTAGTCAAGCCAAGAAAACCGCTACAATATTGAGAGGTTGGCGCACAAGGGACTAGGGAGAAGAAAATCACAGATATCATATGAAGTTATGTAGGAAAACTTAGTTTCTTGTCTTCGTGTTTTTGGTGAATTATCGTTAAGCATGGTGTTCTGCTATGACGATATTCGTCACATGACGGATAAAGGCTCAGCAAGGATAGATCAAGGTTAAATAGTGGTGCGCCCAAGACCTATTTGCCCAAATCACAGCTCCAATACAAGCCCCCTACAGCTTCCGGTGGGAGCAGCATACGAATCTCTTCCACTCGTCTCTTCAAACCAAAGAGAAGGTACTCGAACATCATATGAAGTTGTCATCAGGAATAGTAGAGCAAGGCCTATTCGTCTAAAAATCTACTCGAGAGCTCCAGAGGAGACCAGAAACATAATTTATCAGTCAGCTCAGAGTAAACGTGTTCATGGCTATTTCGAATGAAAGAGTGTGATGAAGAGATTAGAATCGCACCAGAAGTCGACGGTGGAGTTTTCATGACCAGCTGCCGATCGGCTTTACCTGAGAATTCTAATTTACGTCACTCCCAAAGCAATTTCCTTTGATTCCGATGAAAATGTGAGAATTTTTTCAAATATCATATGATGGGTATCATCAGGACAGCAACTAATTCAAGCTAACGAGCCAAGAAAACCCACTGGCTTATCTTTGCATGCTACATTTATAGTCTAAGCCAATGTATTCCCTTGAGATATAGACTGACATGGTTAGTTGCTGGGAGATCTCAATCCGAAGGTATGTGGGTGTGTATGCTTACATCTGTGTGTGTAAGTGTTTTTATGTATACGTATAAATCTGAGACCACCATCGTCAAGGTTTAATAATCCTTTTTTACAATCCCACCGATAACGTTATGCATACACGCACTAGTTAATTTGCTGAACTTTATGTGTATCTGTTTAAACTGCGAATAATCAGTAAAATGACCAAATTGAGACCATTCTATCTCACAGATCATACTTGAATTTTAAGGAAAGCCAGTCATATCATATTTATTGCTTGAATGTCAATCAGCAAAATTTGTATTTTGGTATTATAATCAACTATGCTACTTAAATTGATAGAAAGTAGGTTTTCCAGACTATCTGTAAATCTTGACTAAGAGTTCGACTTTCCAAAGGACTCAAAAAGTGATAAAGTACTGACAGTTAAATGCGGTCTAGTGTGATTATTACTCATATTCAAGACTTGCTGATAGACTCAAAAACCTAATTTCTATGAATTTAGGTAAAGTAGTCTATTCAAATGGCAATACACATTTTTCCTTATCAATAATCCCAAAATAAAGTGTAATGTAGGAAAAGTCTGGCCCTTCTTGGAACGTACGTGACCTCCTTGGCGTTCGTTGCAGTGTGGCGTCGTGGTAACATGTTGAAGTTGTACGCTGCACAACCCAAGTTGGAGTCCGGTTGAGGGTGCTGATGAGATCCAGGCTAGGTAGAAACTGTAGTCCAGTTCAATCTGGATGAGAATACATTTTTGGGAGCAAGGTTAAGTGAAATTCATTGGAAACCTGAGGCCTATTCATATAATTGTGGGAAAATTTGACTACAATCCTTAATCACGATATCCTATCTGAATATTCTTTTAAGCCTATCTAGTTCATTTTCCCATTATGGTTGGAAAAAAGTTTTCATTATGCATCCATTTCCAACTCACATTCTACCCTGATAAGCAAGACATTCCGAAAAGGTTAACTTTCATCTTTTTCTATTTCCAATTTTAATTTTATATTATTATCCAGTTGGCTAGCGAAAAAAAATAAATTATCGAATCTATCCTTACCATGCTGCCAAATCGCAAAATAACCGTCAATACATCTAACAAGCCATTTTGATGCCAAGCTTGCATCTTTTATGAAGTAGTCCACCATTATGAAAGGTAATTGTTAACCAAAATAGACGCTAAACAAGATTTTGTTGCAAGTTCTTGCATCTGTCCATAAAACTTAGCAACGGAGATGAAGCAATGTAGGTGTCTGAGCATGAGGTCTGCCAACCCAATAAAAATGTCGGACTGAAATAGGGAGAAATACAGTGTTAGGTTGGTGTATATCAGCAAGCTCAGTAGGCTTGAGGAATCGTCCTGAAGACATAAGCAAGTTGCTAGGTTCAGCAGCTCTTCTTGCATTATGTAAACGGATTATTTATTAATTCAATAGGCCATAACAAGGAAGCTTGGCTTGGAATTTATTATAAATGTTTTGGAAGAATTCATGAGCAAA